AGGCCAGAGGTCATTATCTCTGCTGATGTGCAGGGAAGTCAAAACAACATAAAAATGAAATTACTTGTCCATGGTCTCCACAGCTCTTCAGTCCCCACCGAGAGCACTGCTGAGCCACACTGCCTCCAACAAACAGCAAGTCCAGTAAAGCACGTGCAGGAAGATCTCTGGATGTTGCTCATTGACAAGCACACACAATCCTGTTTTCAGCTCACCGACTCGCATTCTTAGAGGGAAGCGTGGGCCCCAACCTCTGCAAAAGGCTCGGTGTGAGACACGGGCTGAGGGTGAGCTCATCTTGCAGAGCAAGCAGCATTTGTCACCTCCCTGGTGGAGCCAGTGGCCAGGCCATGGTGTGCTGTGTGCCAACAGGGCCCAATCCATCCCCTGAACATGAGCCAGTGCGGGATTCCCTGGCTCTTGGCTGCGTCACTGCACCCAAACTCTTGCTTCAGTTTTAACCTTTTTAACCTTTTTAAACTTACTCTCTTTTACTTATTCCTCACTCCTGGCACTCAGTTGGTTGGGGATTTAATTAATTTGGCATTGCAGGGATTTCCAAGCCAGATCTGAGGTTTGCCACAGAATCCATACCATCCAAAGTATCAAAGCCGACATGTTAATGAGTCTCTGATAAAGTCCAGGATTGATCAGCAGGCAGCAGCAATTTAAACAAATTCCAGACTAAATTTTATCTTTCAACAAAAGAAATATCTTTTCTCCCCACAGGATCTGCAACCAGTGAACCACTGAAGAGCTGTGCTGGTGCAGAGGGAGCCTGCAGTGAAATTCAATGTGAAATAATCATAAACCATCTAATTGGTATTATTCAAGCTGAAAAGTAATGCAAGTAAGCAAGAACAAACAAATTACTCTGGATGTCTTTTTAAACTTTTTGGCTCTAAACACACAAAGTTTTACATATAACACAATATAAGCATCTAAGGATTTTTCGTATTATTTTGAATTTTATAGGATTGTAAAGCAGGATGTAATCATTGGAATAAGACATTGAAATAAGATAATTATCTCCTGCTGCTTCAGAAATAAGAAATAAAAAGAGCTGTGTATATATTTTCTTCTCCAAAGAAGAACTAAATGTACTGTGATGATTCTTGTTTCTGGAGAAAGAACCATTGGGTTGTGATTTGCAGTTATCTAAATACATTCCTCAAAGGAAGGGCTATTCAGAGGTGTGGATGGAGTACAGCACACACTAATTGGTCCCAGGGCTACCTTGAGCATCCAGACACTGGTGATAATTCAAGTCACAGCTGGAAAGGAAGTCTTGGTTGTGCTCATCCTTGGCTAAGCTGAAAATGGTCTCATCCTCGTTCATGTTTCCTTCTCAAGGCTGGCTAAGTGGACTAAGCCCATGGCCACTGAGATCTGGATACACATCCAGATCCATCTCTGGATCTACATCCCCATGGTCATCATGTTACTCAAGTTGTTTGTCCAGATGCTTCACAAAGAAGGATTGAAAGTAGAGGAAATAGAGATCTTCTTTCTCCAAATCCAGGCAGACAAGAGCAACTGATTACAGGACTCACAAGTAACAACCAGGTCACATACCATTCCACCATTCTGTTGAAGCATTCTTCATTCACTAAAAGCAGTAAATACTTTCCTGGCAGACAGAAATTTCAAGTTGTGATACTTGTAAACCTAAGTCAGCAAAAATCTTCACACAAGGAACAGGGGTTAATGCCCTCTTGGCCTTTGCACTTTATGATGAGTGTCAATGGCCTTTTTGCCTCTCATAGGTCTGAATTTTATCACTTCCCCAGCACTCTAGTTGCGTGTCTTTCCCAATGCAGTGATAGACCTGGAGGATGAGTGATTGTTTCTTCTGACTAATACAGCATCAGCATAAAAACCAACCCAGTGTTCTCAGACACATTTTAGAAAGCTATTATCCCCACTTTGGAGGAGACAAAGCTGTTGTGCAATATGCTCACCTTTATGCATTTTGCCCAGAGGAAGAACACACCCATTACTCAAACTGATGAGCACATGTCCTGCCTTCTGTATTCTGGTGTCAGCTGACCTTGGCAGATTGTAGTGACATTTCCTCACATGTGATTTTGCTTTTTACAGTTTTTTTTAAATCTCTCACCATCATAATTGTTTACTTGAAGTGTTAGGTCTTAATTACAGTAAACATTTTTCCATTTCTGTACAGACAGGAAATGCACTGGAATAGAACTGGATGGTTTAAGTTCATCATCTGTTCATCTCTTGATAGAGATCAATATAGATTAGAGGTAAGTCTCTTTATCCATATTCATTTTCAAAACCCAAAATTACATGCAACAGATTTATAATTAAGCAGAAGTGATGATGTTTTTGTACAGCTTACTTAAATGGATTTGCCATGATGCATTAGAGTAGAAGCTGTAAAACCCCACCAGATGTTGTGCTTCCCCCCGCCCCCACTCTGCTGCAATTTACGTGAGAGTCCTACATTGTAAACAAAACTTGAGGTCAAAGTTTTCTAACCTGAGGATCTATTCTAAAACCATGCTGACTACCCAAGTAACATGTCTTCATTTACAGAGGGGGTGAACAACCCCAGCTAGGAGTAAAATCTGAATTAAACTCAGGGACTTGTGCACCTGAACAGCACGGCAGTCTTGTGTTCCTAAGCTTGCTGAACAAAGTTTTTTGGGTAGCAGCTGCCTCGTAGCCCAGACATTTACATTTCTGCCAGGAATAAACCCAGCTGAGTCACAGCTCTGTGAGGCCAATTTTACAAGTGAGCTGCAGCAGAGATCCTGCCCCCGGTGTTGCTGTGCCCCATCAATGCCAGCCCTGCCAGGAGGAGCACACAGCCCCCTGAGTGTCCAGGGACAGGCAGCCAGGCAGAACTTGGCACCACTGCACACCAGCAAAGTGATTGCAAGATTTGCTTCCTGCATTGACAGATTTGAAGCAGGGATTGGAACTCACGCTGATCTGTGGAAATAGTCGGTTGAAAGTAGGATTCAGCCTGAGACACAAAAATGACAGATTACATAAAAGTGAATACAAACCACCTGAGACTCAAAGAGATAAAAGAGAACCTCTGAGTCCAAGGCTGGTAGGGGCAGGGCTGGGAGGCATTTCACCCTCTTCACCCCGTGAGGCCACGAGAGGACACCGGGCCCATGGCTCCCAGCTGGCAGAGCTGAGCAGAGCTGGGCCTTGCAGGTGAGATCTCGTCCTCCCGCACGCAGGGCGGGTTTTGCTGCTGGCTTTGGTGGAGCCAGGCTTGCACAATGCTCCATACTCCACTCACAGTGAAGTCACTGGGGTTATTCATGTGGCAGAGTTACTAGGTGCCCTCACTCACGTTATGCAAAAGGCTAGGCTTGAGCAAGGAGCTATAAAAATCAACATTACACAACAGCTTCCATAGGGAGCTCCTTTTCACCAATTATTAGCCATGGTGATGAAGTGTGGTGGGTGACTCACAGACCTTGCCTTGCCCATCAACAACAGAAGACTTTTGGTGTTAGATAAATGCCTTTAAAGTGCATTCTTTACCATATGTAGCTCACAGTATTTTGAGCACCAGTAGTTGTGATGTGAATCATCTCAATGCACCCAAAGTTTGTTGCTGCTTTGATTTTTTTAAACAAACAGCATGATAGCACTTGGAAAGCACAAGATCACCCCAATCAAGCAATGAAGAATGAGCAGTGATGCTGATGAGACACATCCACTTTACTCACAGGTTTCTAGCAGCCTGGCTTTACAGTGTGCCACACATCCTGCAAGTCATTGGTGCAGCCCATACAATGAGCATGTAACCCAGGAAAAACTTTTTGCAGTGTATATGCCAAATTATCAGTTCCTACAGTAAAAGGAGACAGTTATTTCTCAGTTCAGAGGTCTTCCCCATTTTCAAAGAGCTCTTTAAAAATCTGTCTTAATTTTTGAGTCCTCCATGCTCTTTATGTATTTATATATAAATGTATATTTCTATTTTCATTGATGCAAGCACTTTTAAGGAAAACAATGCACAAGGGAAAAACTTCTTATGAATACTTGTTTCAAACTAAGTATTTTGAAGAAACACCAGAAAAAAAATGCTTAAAAACATAATTAGCACTTGTAGGCAGCTAATTTTTTTAAAAAAACCCTGCCCTTTAGTCTCTTGGATTGATTAATGGAACATTTTTTTGTGAGTAACTCATTGACATGGAACAGGATTCCAATCACAGTTGATTATAAATTAGCACTCATTTTAATTGATGCAGATAATCATGTCAATGCCACAGCAAATACATTATCAAACATTACATATGGATGCTGTAATATAAACAAGAAGTTGAGAACTTCATTATCTTCCAGTGCATCACTACTAACTAATTCCTAAATTTTTCGTCATTGTTTAGACTGCAGTCAGATTTCACAGAATAATTTGCTGCTTATAAACAGTAGATGTAACTCTTTTCTTAGATACAATTGACAACAAAAAGAAGAAAGATTTTATTTTGCTCACTCAGGGCTTTGCAAAGAAAATGTCTTCTCTGAAATGCCATGATAGGCCATACTTCCCTCCTAACAGGCAAAGAAGGGAGGGGAAAGAACTAACAGAAGAGTGCTAAATAAGCTCCTTTTTAATATGGAATGAAAGGAAAACACAGCTGCTGACAGCTCTGCAGGCCACAACCCTTTGCCTCAGTTTCCCCTGCCTGGCGTTGTGAATGCCTGGCAGGGATATAACCCCTTTTTATACTTCTTTCTTGCTTTTCTCTCTCCAGGGAGTCACACTCACATTTTGTGAGTTAACACAGTCCCAGACTAAGGCAGCACATCCAGGTACCTTCTTTTCCAGTCCTCATAGCAAACGCTGCCTGGCATATTTTATTTTTTACCATGGTCCTCCTTCCTTTGATTGCTGGACAGCTCGAGCTGCTGCAGGGCTCAGCCAGGGATTTCTGCTCCTTTCTCTGGAGCTTTTTAACAGTGGGCTTTAGGTGTGCAAATGAGAGCTACACTTTCCAGAGCAGAGCTGCAAACAGAAATTTCATTCCTGAGATACTCTGATCCCCCTCTTCATTCACAGAAATAACTGCAAGGTTTAAAATAAATGTAGACTCATCCTATTGAGCTAAAGTGCTTTCGTATATATAACAAGATTCTGGCCTCACTTTTTTTTTTTTTTTTTTTTTTTTTTTTTGTCAGTGACACATTAAAGGCTTATTTCTGATTAGATTAGACTTGATAGACGCTGGTATAAAATCCTCGTGTTATTTTAGCATCTCCTGTCATTTCAGGGTTAGAGGAGGTCTAACAAGGAACATTATTTAGGGAAGTTCCTCTTAATATGAAACTGAAGTCCTACCCATACCACTTGTTTGTAGACATTGACAGCAAACTACACCATAACTCAAGCTTCCCTCTACATATTCTTACCTCATTCTAAGCCCAAACTTGAAGTTGTTGCAATCAAAGCAATCAAAAGCAATCCAGAAAAGGCATTCCTAGCTATACTTGGAAGTTGATCTCTGCCATTAAGAAAATACATAGCAACTCTGTGAAGAGGAAAAGCATACTAAAATAGCCTTAGCATATTATGCAATACATTTACTTTGTATTTAAATATTTCTTTCTAATGGCTATGCTATTTTTTTACTGGGAAATGAGCTGAAGCCTACACTTTTGAACAGATAATTCAATCCTCAACCCCATTCCAAACCAAATCCAAATAATAATTTTGTAGACACAGAAGATATAGGTAATGCTGGTCAGTTATTACAGTCATGTCTGCTTTTCCAGCAGTTTCAGTAATTAGTCCCATCTTGAATGAAAACATACATTTTGTTGAATATGAGCAGATTTTTGAATACTCATCTGAAAAAACCCCAACAACTTCCACCAGTCAATTCTGAATTATAATCTTCCATAAAAGGATTTTATATTTATCTCCAGAAGAAACCCACAACTTGGTCTTCAACAGCTGAGGTCCATCCTGAGCCTGGTCATAACCACTAGGTAGGGCAATGTATATTTATTTATTCTCCCCACTCCCCTGCCTTATTTTTTGATTGTCAGGTTTAGTCAGGCATAAAAATGAAGCTTTTGTGCAGTCACAATGTCTCGTGATTTTTAATGTAGCACTTAATTTTGTTTGTCTGCAGAAATTGATTGTTAAGTTAGGGTTTGCTCAGATAACAGGACATTTCACTCAGCCATCACATTTTGACATTTGATAAGTAATTAACTAAAGGAAAGAACAGCTGTTAAGAAAATGCTTAGTGACAGCATGTAGATGATTTAAGGCCAATTCAAGAACCGCATAAGTCCCATTTAAATATAAAATGTCATGAGATGCACAGTAAAAAATCTACATGATGTCTTTCCTTTGCAGTCTAACAAAGAATTAGCCTTCATCATCCTGAATAAATGAATGTGCCATCAAATACTCCTGTCATCTAGGATGGGAAGCTTAGAATCCTGTATTCTAAAGAACAACCTTATGACAAATAGTAAACACAAAATACAGTAAGTACTTATAAAAGAAGGAAGCTTACTGGATTTCTTTCTTAAACCTCAGCAGCATTTTCTTTAAGTTTTGTGCCATAATTCTTGTTGTGTTGGTCAGCTAGAATAAAAGATCAGATAGATCAAAGTTGGCATGTTTGAAATAAAAGGGAGTAGGATGCCAAGTATAATCCTATGGACAAGACAGAGAAGCGGAAAAAAGAATGAGCAACGAGGGAAAAGCATGATAGAGGTTGCAGATGACTAAAGAAAGCAGGTTCATGAATGAAAAGAATTCTGAAAAGTCAGCTGTCCAAAGCAGACCACAGTTTTGGCAGGTCTCACATCCACCATTACTGCTACTTGCACAGCATATAAACTGCACTGATTACTGATTCATCATTCATTTAATGACTACCCATAAAAGCAGATTATTAGTTGTCATGATATAGATGGGAAACAGAAAATTTTGCTTGTCTAAAGATACCTTCTCGAGGCTCTCCTTACCTGGACCTTAGCCACCACACTTAGAATGATATTAATAGATTTCTCTTGGCTCTTGAAGCATTTTGACCTTAGATGGCTGTGGAAGTAGGTAGACTAAGTGCCAGCCTACAAGCTAGTGAGCATCTGTTGCATCCTGCCATTACAAATACTGCTTCATTGATGGGATTCCAGGACAAGGGTTCAATTGCTGCTGGTTAGTAATAGCTGTAATGTGTGCTTCAAAAGAGGAGTAAGAAAGAAGGTGCAAGCACCTCAACACCACACCCAATAGGCACCAATTGCAACCAGCTTGCAGCAGCCTCCCAGAGAAGTGGCAAGGCTTGCCACGGTTCTCTAACACTCACTGAGACATTTCTATATGCATTTGACATGTTCAAATATACTGGTCCCCTGAGGGAGATAGGAACAAATCCTTTTAGAGGATGTTTTTACGCCACATGGGAATGGTTTGTAAATTATCCGTCTTCTCCTTCATCAGAGAAAAGGCCAAATGGTCAGGCAAGGTCAAGGGGGAGATTACTTTCGGCTGTTGGGACAAGGAAGAGTAAGGTTTCCTGCTAAACTCAAGTTTCTGGTGTGCTGGGGAAAGCAAGCAGCAGAGCTACTGAGGGAAGACAGCCATGGACATAATCCACAGGCCATGATGCCAGTCAAGAGGTGAAACAAACACTGCAGCGAGCAAGCACTGCTAAAACAAGTTTCAGAGGCTTGCAGAAGGGGCTGGAGTGCTTGAGGCAGGAGCCTGACAAGCAAGACAGTCGTAGCTGAGTGTCCGAGCTCCAGGCTGTCCCTGCTGCATGGTGGCACCTGAGCCCCTGGGGCAGCGCCCATCTGAGCTCAGCAGCAGCTGCAGGGCTGGCCTGGGACTACATGGCAGCTCCAGGGACCTGGTGATGCTTTCATTGATGAGCAGGAGGGAGGGGGAAAAGCATAAACAGACTGGTCTTTGGAGGCCCGTGATCCTTCTCACTGAGCTGAGACTTTCCTGAGTAAGAGCTAACAGAAGATTGGGGCCTTAATTTTTAAGTCCAGCAAATTTGACTTGGGGATGATTAAGTAAAGGTGATTGGTGAGAAAGGTCCTTTCAGACACAGGACCCCAAAAATAAATCCCAGGAGCCCTTAATCCTGAGTCACAGACCCTTGGGATCATGACTGTTAAGACTGTTTTGGAGGGAGGGGTTAATTAAAAGAATATTGGAAATGTTGAAGTGACAAAGAAAAATTCTTACATGTGGAGCAGCTGACATTTAGCAATAGACCTGAGATTGCTAATAGCACAGAGCTTTCTCCTAACAGTTAATACCAGGATAAGGAAAACATCTGGAAAGTAGGACTTGTGTATATTCTGCTATGTTTATAATTCAGAATTAATATAGAACACAGAGCTATTGCTTTTACCAAATCCTTTTACTGACCGTAACTGTATTTTAAGCCATTCCCAGGATGTTGATATGCATTTATGAAATTGAAAAGCCAGCCCCCACACACAGTGGCACTGCACTAGTGCATCAGTTTGTGCCATTATGGTGATGATGATGAAATTTAGAAGGGGAGCGGTTGCTTATGAGATTACTTAGGGTATACCAGGAGAAACCTCAGCACAGATGCCATTTATAACTGGTTGTTAGTTTGAGGTCAGACAAGAACATTTCTGGCACAAAACAGCTACACAGCAAAATAAACACAAAGTGTAAATATGTTCTCCAAATCAGCAGCCAAGCAGCTCTAGTTTGTCCATGAAGCACTCCAGATTCGGGCTGAAATTCCAAGGCTACAAGTACAACATTAGAAGTGTTAGTTTGCTGCAAATTATTCTATAATAGCAGTATTTGTAACTCATTTAGGAAGTTGCTGTTTACTCAGAACAGCTTTCCTACCAAAATAGGTTCCCTGGCATGGAGCAGTTAATGAGATCCTAAAGGATTTTCAAATAAAAGTTTAGATTTTACTTCAATGAGAGCGTCTGTCCCATGATAATTGGTATTAATACAATCCTTTGCTATACTTTCAAACAAACACTGAAGAACTGTAGTGATGCTTATCCATTTCTTAAAAGTACTATTTTATCATAAATAAATATGGCAAGGCATAAATAACTCAGGATAAAAATATCCCTTTTCTCATTTTCATCAGATATCTAGAAATTAGTGGCACCTTAAGATTGTTGATCAGCAAGTTGATTTAGCCCAAAAAGGTAAAAGGGCTCTCTGTCTACTGTAAGAAGTACAGCCAAGATCATGGCTGAGCTAGGTATGGCAGGCACAAGGCAGAACACAAGCACTATCACTGCTGATTCTGGTTTAAAAAAGTATATTAGCAGCTGTAATAAATCGTGCATGTTTCTGTGGTAATCCTTGTATATATGTTTTCCCAGAGTCATTCCAAAGTACATGGAACCTCTCAGCATGCATGTTAGTAACTATTCTGTTTATAAATTGTAAGAGGGGCGTCATTAGCTATAGCTCCAGTGCACCCTGTCTTGTAACTCTAAACTTCTGTTAATCAAAGATGACAGATCCTCAGACCTCATAAAAAAACCTCGGAAGGAGCCCGTTGTCCTTGAGACATACCTAGTTATGCCAAGCTTGAGGAGGTCCCAAAAATGCAAAAAGGCATGTTGAGGGAAGCAACACGCGCATTTTCATATTTCAGCTGACATCCAGCTGAGTGCTCTCAGCAGTGTTGTTTTCATTTTTTTGTTGTGCTGGGGGAAGAGCAATCTGCCAGGGCTCAGCCTACTCACTGCCTTCTCTCTGCCAAGTTTGTTCCACAGGGAATATGTGGGCAGGGGAGCAGGGCTGCAGTCCAGCCAATCCCTTACGTGCCCCTGTCCTCAACAGGCGGCTGCACAGAGGGCACTATGCCACAGACACACCATAATAAGTATCAGGGACTGGTTCTCATCAGACCATATCGATTTTTGAAGCACAGTGAGTCTTTTCAGTTTCAGAGCAAAGACTGCCACTGTGGGCTGCCTGCTTGTAAAGTTAATTAAGAGAAAATGTCCAGTTAATGTTGATATTTTACTTGCTCCATGAATTATCACCTTCCTTTATTTCAAGCAGCTAGCCAGAATCACTTGCTGTTAAACTGATGGTTTTCCTTTTATGGTTTACAGATTTTGTGGCTAATTGTGAAGAAAACCATTTTTGGAATGCCTGGGCAGTACAAGCGTGAATCACAGCAGCAAGCCACTGCTTCTGTCTCCCAACATGTATCATGGAACTATTTTCTTCCAACCCTTTTGTAGTACAGTACATTCTACATAATGAATCATTTTCATGCAGAAATAGAAACAAGTGATGACTATGTTCACTTCACAACAGAGAAGAAAGGACTGGCATCCCATAATTAAATTTCCAGGTTTAGTGGCATTGTAACCAATCGCTGCACACATGGCCTTGAGTGTCAGCTGTAGGGAGGTTAATAGACCCCTAACACATGTTTCCTAACAAAATATGATTTTTTAAAATGTCAAATTCTGGTCCTTGGGGAAGATCCAAAGTAACACATTGATATTTAGTGCCATTTTGGATGTTGTAACACTGATAATGCCATACCTAAGAGCAAAATGAAATGCTGCTGTTCACGACACAGAGCTACGTGCCTACCATCCCTCTGAAGGGAATGAGGGGAACAAAGCACCTGGGAATTGGATGTACAATCTACAGCATTCTGGGGTGTGGGAGGTGAGATGTTTGTTCAGGCACTTTGTTCATCTCTTCCATCAATCCTATGTCACACATGGATGCTGCTGAGCTGTGTCTCCCAGACATGAGCTGCTTGGAGCCGGAGTTCTCAGGAGTAAAGGACCAAATCTGACCTAGTAACCCTGCTGGGAGGCTGGGAATATTTACTCACACTTACTGCCCTCCTAACATGGCTGCTCAGGTTCTCTCCAGTCTGCAGCACTCACCTGCTTGGGATGTGGGCAGGCAATGCCTAATCCTTCCTGCAGAACATCCCATAGGGATTCCCTTAGGTGCCAAGCTCAGCCCACAATAAATATCCATTTTGTGGAGCATAGTAATGACTGAAGACTTTGCCATTTTCCAGCTGCTCAGCATGGCCCATCATCTGGTTCTGCTGGAAGAAGAGACTGCAGTCACACCTGCATTTTCATCCTAGCAAATTCAGTCAGGTAAGCTGAAGACACCAGCTTTCAAATCCCAGTCTCTCTGTCTGAAGTGACTGCCCCTTCTGTAATACTCCAGTGGTAAGGCAACTTGAGTATCCTTCAGTGAGAATACATCAAGCTGCAGGTTTGGGGGCCCTTTATTCTTTTGCCTTTTTTGCTTTACTGGGACGAGTGTGACTAGAGGGCTATTCAGTGGGGTGCCAAACCCCCGGATGGGAATTACAGTTACACAGTTGATATTCCCTGTGCAGTGATAGTTGACTATTTAATAAACAACATACGCAATATATTGACTGGAGTAGTAAAATGGAGCTGCAGTGGCCTTGAGCTTGATCTCTTGCAGTAAATCAGGAATTGTATTACAGAGGCCAGAGAAGTCATGCTACTACTGAAGAGATTAGAGTTGGCCTCAATACTGAAAGGGCTGAAGGCATTTTAATTTTATGGAATTGTGATTTAAGCAAGAAGGAAGTTTTACAGATTTTTTTCTTCCACATGGACATGATATGCATCCAATGCACTCACTCCTGTTTTCAGCAGCAGAAATATTCATCCTTTGGGCTCATCTACAATCTGAATTCATCTTAGCCACACCGCCAAAACACACCTCCTTGTCAATCTGGCAGATACTCTTAGTTCTTTTAAACCCTTAGAAGGGAAGAAGTAAAACACTGTTTATCTTGTCTGTTTTTTAGAGGATGGTTAACACATATTGCTTTTCCCTATGCACACCAGAAACAACCTTCAAGGCTGAATAATCACAAAAAGAAACACTAAAGTGGTTTAGTAGCCATCTGAAGATATTTTGGCTGTAAATCCCATAAACATGAGCTGATGAGTTGCCCCTTTTTCAGCAGCCATCTCATTGCAATTAAAAAGAAAATTCCTGCAATACAGTTCTTTGCAAGCTGTGCTTAAAAGACCAATGTCCTGGTGTGCCACAGAGCACAAAAGCCACAGGTCTAAGTCATGGGGGTAACAGGACCTCCCACATCAGCTGAGATGAAGTTGCTATTGATTGTCAGGGTATTAATAGATGAACTTATCACACCTTTTTTGCAACAATTTAAGGAGTTACTATCACCATATTTGTGGTTGCCATGCTCACAGTGATGTCAAGAGAAAGAGCTCTGTGCCTCACCAGCTTCAGTGTCAAGTCTGTTGGTTTAGGTAGATTTTCACTTCACCTGCAGTTTAAAGCAAGAAGCAAGCTCTGGCAGTAGAGCAGCTGGGGTGGGGCACACCTCCTCTTCTTCTGGTTTTGCTGTGGAAAGGAGCAACTTCCAAGACTGTCAAGAAGTGGAGGACATAACTCCATAGGCCACCACAGAGCCATCCACTGGATCTCATTTAGCAGTGCCTCTGTGGCAAGTTGGAGTTTTTTTAAATAAGGCAGCCCCCCATAGCTCTCTGGATTGCCAGCTCAGCTAGTGCTAAGCTGATTTGAATTACTTCTCATGTGCTCAGGTCACACATAGAGCTCCTATGCCTCAGCAAACACATGGCAATTTATGTACATGTTTTGCATTTCAGATGTCCATGAATATTTTATTAGTGGAAATATTCATTTGCATAGTACTTACTGAAGTAAATTTTTGAGGTCCTTGGGACTGCAGAACAAAACAAACCACCTGGACTGAAAAAGAAGCAATTATAGAGAGTTAAGGCACTCTTGACATGGTTTCTGTTTTATCAATAATGTCTACCAGTCTTTACTTTGAAATAACTGGCTGTCATTATGAGTACACTCAGGCAGTGTAGCCAAATTTACTGTAAAATGAAGGACCTGTGTATGTGACAAGGCACAAACAAGCCAGAGTGTTGGATTTTAGATAGCTCTGGTCTGAAAAGATCTGAATGCACAGTGATATCTACCAGGGCTGTGTGTCTGCAGAAGCCTTATTTTCCAGCTGCTGAGTGAGGACAGCCTCTAAAGTAAATTAGTATTTATGTCCCAGTTCAGCAAAGTTCATGCTTGATTTTTAGCATAGGCTTCACTTCTTACTTAAGTTAATCACACACTTAATTGCTTTAATAAATGGGGACAAAATGAAGCATATCCTTAAGAACATAATCAGGACCTACCCCACAGATGGTCGAGACTGAGGGCTTGATCTAGATACCTCTGAAATCAAGAAGCACATAAATGGGAATCACAGGTGTGCTTCAATGTTGTAGTACATAAATCAGTTTTCCTATCCCATAATTTTCATCTGATTTACTTGCATGCAAACCTAGGAGCTAGAAGAGAGCTGAGGGTTTAATGCCCTGGTATACTGTTAATACCTTGGAAGCAAGTCAGCAGGGACATCACGATGACAGGACCCTCAAGCTACCAATACTTCCCAGACTTCCACATGACAGAGAAGAAAAATATGGTGGAACTGAAGGCAGAAACTGACTCCTGGTTATGGCCCTTGCATAGGTATTTTTCTATGGCCCATCCTCTTGCATAGGTATTTTTCAGGGTTCTGTTCTTGCTTAAGCACAGCTCCCCATAAAGCTAAGGCTCCACTGATGTTCTAAAGCACTTTTTATAATCAAGTCATTGCACAAAACTGCTCTACTATAATAGAGAATGTTTTGGGGGGAAAAAACAGCTTTAAGATGAAAATTAAGACGTACGTCTTCAAACAAAAATAGAAGAATTATAAATGGCAAATAGCCAAAAACCTCTTTGGTAAGTTAATTTAAATTGAGCTGAGAATGTCAGATTTATCACTGTGGGTAGCTTGACTGAGTGGCTCAAAATTCATATGCCACTTTTGTTTTCATCTCCATATTACTGAGATTGCTGCACTGTGCCAAACAAGCAAGCCTGGAAAAGAATTTCCTTGCTAGGATCTACTTTGAGGATGCAAGTTAGCAGAGGAGATAGACCCTCTCTGTGATGAGTGAATTAGAATACACACATACTATGAGCAACAGTAAGGATCTGAAATGGGGCTGTTTTCTCCATGGCCACAGGTTCATGTAGGCTGTATTCAGTCTTCTGTAGGTGCCCTGAACAGTCTTCTAAGCTTCACTGAAGAGGAAAATGAAATCTCTGTTCAAGAGGTGAAAAGCCTTTTTGCTGTGTACCTGTCACACTAGACAGTCTCCTGTTCCCTATGCTGTCTCAAGCACAAAGATTCAGGGCAGAGTACTGCCCACAAGGATAGACAACTTCTGAACAGTGAAGATAAAATGAAGTTATCTCACAAGAATGACTGTGGACCCAAAAAGGTCAGAATAGCTGGAGTTCATCAAACAATTAAACACACCAGCTCTGTATTTTAAATAGAAAATAAGACCAAGAGGAGGGAGGATCAGCAGTGTCTGTGATTTTCACAAAAACTCAAAAAGTAAATAAGTAGATTTATTTGGAGATTTCTTGCATCCACAAAAGGGAGACTGGTGGTGAGAACTGAAGAAATAGGACTAATATAAAAAAAAAAAAATGAACCTTTAACTACAGCACTCAAATGTCTCCCTGGGGGAATTAAAAAAACCCAACCAACCTACTTCTGCACATGAAAATTGTGAAAACACAAAAGCAAAATATTCTGAGCAACATATTTTAAATCTCAGATGGTATCCTCCACTTGAGTTGGGCCTTTTTTCCTCAAAGAGGAAAGGCAGCTTTTAACTTGCCAATCATCCTAAAGGGGAAATTTCATTGCTGATCTAGTTCAACTCCAGCAGACATTACAGGTCATGTTTAGCTACAAAATAACAATTCCTAGAACCTCCACCCTTTAACTCTGAAAATGAGCCACAGCTACTGTTTCTCATCTGTGCATAAATGTTTACCTTGTCTTCACAACATAAGGTGCTGGGATTTCTTCAGGGTGCTTTTAAACCAGTATGTTGCTAACATTGTCCCTGTCATGCCTCCAGAAATAAGAAGAGAGCACACAGTAGCACTTAGTAGGAAGATGCAAATTTGTGGTTTACAGATAGACAGACAACCTTCCTCTGCCTTCTCCTTTGAAACTGTGTGTGGGCTTCACTTGTTGAGCTGGGCTTCTTGCAGGCAATGGCACATGGCATAACTACCATTAGCACTGGCTGATGGAACAGGTGAGTTTCTTGTGCAGTTTATTCTCTAAAGGAAGATTGGAAATGGAAACTCTCTATTTGTCTCTATTTTAATTAGTGAAAAGCTGATGAAAGCACAACCCAATGTGGCATCCTAATTGTTTCATCAGTGAAATTATAAATAGATTGTTACAAAAATTATTGAAATAGCAAAACAATCCAGAGCTGTGAAAAGCTGACCCAAGCCTCTTGTCTGAACAGGCTAGAGTATTCTTCAGAGCTGTACTAGATTGGAAGTGAAATTTTGCCCTTTGGGATGATTGGCAAGTTAGAATCTGCCTTTCACCTTTGAAGAAAAAAGGCTCAACTCAAGTGAGGATACCATTTACATGACTCCTTTCATCCTGCTAAACAAACAGTGAATGGATGTAACTCTCAGCATTTTTGGTGAAAACAGGCTGCTTTGGCTCGGTGCAAAAGAGAGGGCTGAAGACATAAACATACACGTTTGAATAGAGGATGCATTTCCCCCATGCTTCTGATAGAAAATGTAATTGCATCAGATGTTCTCTGAAAACTGCCAGTTTGCTTAAGAACATTCAGCATGTTACCTCAATAGCTGCTTGCCTACACTTCACAGACAGAATGCAAGGAGGTACTTTTCTCTCAAATGCAGATGAGAAATAAGGTCTCAGGCTTGATAATACTTCCAATCTGCTCCACAAGCAAATGACTGATTTTAATTATCTTTCAACTGCTAACATGGAAGCTGACTTCTCTTTAGATAGAGGCAGCCAAGAAAGCAAGGACAATGCATATGAACCCCTTTCCCTGTTTTTCCCAGTTTCATTGCTTGTGTAGTGAGGATTACTTTTTAAGAAGAGAAAAACAGCAAAAACATTTTTTACATCTCTTCAGTAGCCAGAGAATTTATCAGAATCTTGGCAATAACCCATGTTCAAGTGTAATTTATGCCAGATAAATGATTAATCTATATCATGGCAATTTAGGGACCTCCAGCTTGGACCACATGAAGATTTCTTCAGGGTATGTGGAGATGGGTCTCCTTAGCTAATGCTTCCTTGGGGGAAGGCAAAACCAGGGAAATTCAAGGGAAAGCAAAAGTTGACAGAGGAGATTACTTTGTAGCATTCCTTCCAAGGCCCAGCACAGAACCACAAAAGGATTTTAAAGGTTTTAGGGAAGCTACTGCCTGCAGAAACCCCCACAGCATCAATTCAGTTATGCTGCTATGCTGGAAGGGGAAAAGCTAGCAGAGAGGTGTAACTTCATGATTAGCCTGGGCATCACAGTCCATTTCAAAAATGAAGGAACTTGTCCTGCTGGTAGAATAATGAATCATTAAAACTACAAGAAGAATTGCTAAAGTGCTCCTTTGCTCTTGGCTTTCAGATGAACTTCCAAACTGGCTTTTAATCTGCCTGGTGGGGATGACTTCCTCAGAGAGTCAACAGAAGACAATCCTCTAATACTTTTTATCTTGGCAGCCTTTTAAAGTGCAATGCATGTATAAATAAATGCCATTATTAACTCCATGGAAAAATGCCTAGCATTCTCAGAGTTGAAAATGCAAATCAATTATGCAGTGTCTTAATTCTAGCATCTTTAAAAAATGAAAAATTCTAATGACATATTACATTGCTTTGTGAATCAATTCCAAATTTTTGGAAATTGTCACACATCCCCATTCATTAAGAAGCTTTATTTTTAAGCATATTCAAGACATTTTAGATCAATGTAAAGACTACACTAACCATAGAGCTTTAGTGTAGACCTTAAATTATGATTTTCCTAGTCTGTCTGTCTAATTTGGCAGGAATAAAAGACTCTGCATTTCCACTTCAGACACGGGGAGCTTCACAGGTCTTTCAAAGGCCTCAGGTTTAATTAGTCTTTGAAAAAGAGTGGTTATTTAATAGGAAAAAAATTATGGTAGTCAGAGTCTTAAAGACCTTAAAAATAGAGGCAACTGTGAAACCCCACAGCCTTCCTGGGGTTGCAAATTTTTTACTGGTTCAGGAATCACAACAGAGTGGGAAGATAGGAGAGAGCTGATCCTCTTTTGCCCGTTTTATTTCAAGAGTTGTGTAACTTAGCAGGGTGAGAAAACATCTCTATTTAGTTTAAAAATATAAATTACCTGTCACTCCAGAGAGAGACAACTACTCTGCCATTCCAGACACAAAAAGCTGGCAAAAATTCCTTCTCTCAAGAGCCATTAGTAGCACTTTTCTGGCTGCCAAAAAGCATGTGCCTTTTAAGAAGGTACCACAGGACCAGGGATGTGCTGTAGTGATGATAGTCAGCAACTATCCAAATTTCAAGCCTGTCAGACAGAAATACCTGTCTGACCTCTGAGGCATTCCTTGTCCCAAGGAACCAGGCAGCACAGGATGGTGATACCTAAATGACTTCAGGGAGAAGTACCGAATGGGAAGCTGCTATTGCTTGCTGCTCAGGGTGTCAATTACTACTGATAAAAGTACTGGTTTACTAATAGGGAAGTTTAACTCCTGAGCAAGTACATGCCTACCCAAAGGTCTGATCTGCAAGAGGAAGATTATGCAATTGGAACAATCTAAATTCTCTATTTCAATCTAAATTCCAACTTTGGGGGCCATTAGAAATGTATAAACCCAGCTACCACCCTTGCCATTTGAGAACACCCTGCAGAAACAAGGCAGGGGTTCCAGCCCTTAGAGTGTTGCTACTACTCAGAAAATAGTGGTGGATTCATCTTGCACCAATTATTAGACATTTGCATCAAACTTTTGTCTTCCTCTCATGCTATTCTCCTAATTTTATATTCTTTCAGCCCCTTTCTTTTCCATCTCCTTTTTTTCACTACAATTTTCTGCTCAGCTCTTCCTGAAGCAGCCAAGTACCAGTGTGCAGACGCTGCAGAACACTGCATGACATCCTGTTTGAATGGCAAGATCTTGGAGCAGGAACTATCTGCTACTCTGCAGACACAGTAAAAAGCAGACTCATTCTTCAACAGCTTGAAGCTGAAACTCTCAATAATGTCATCAGGAGCTATTGTGTCACATCACCCAAGTTGTGCAGGGAATACACCTCATCTTTAGGCTATTACTGCTTAAGTCATCTTTACTGAATCTTCTTTGTCAAAGGTGTCCCAGTTGATCTTTGCACAATCTCTTGAACTGTATCTCAGGACTCTCAAGTTCAGGACACTGAAATAAATGCTCTCTTCTCCATAGCTCATATTTGAAAACACATAGGAATTATTCTTCTAAGGAGCAGGTAGAAGGGAATCAACCATTTCAATATGCTATTTTACATCATCCAAAGATGACACTATGACATCAGACTTGCCCTTAGAGGATACTGGACAACTAAGGTCCTCATGGCTACTCCAGTAATTTCTGTATTTTCTTTAGAAACTTAGTGTAAGTCTTAAAACCCCTTTTTAGTGTATACACAGCTATCAACAACTGAATTCTTCAAAAACAGAGTAAATAGAAAACCTGACAAGCCATCTATTCTTGTAGGAGAAAACTTTTTTTCCAAAGCCAGAAACTGGAGCAGATATAAGCTAGTTCTCCTCATTCCAATCACAAACATGTACTAAATTATAAAGGGAGTTATAAATAGAAAAGAGAACTCTCAAATTCTCCGTCATCTTTCTCCATCCCAAAGACAATTCAACCTCCTTTCCAAGGTTCTGTGAAGCATAGGTATAAAATGTAGTACACGAATTTCAGAATTGTCTGAACCTTTTGGTTAAGATGACATTTTTTTCTTTATACTCACATTGCATCCCCCAGAATATCAATATACATTGCCATCTCAAAACCTACTATTCTCATTGGTAAAAAAAGATTACTTTTCAAGACTCAATTTTACAGAAGTTTTGCAGAGCTGAATGCTTTTAACTGAGAAGTCTGATTTTAAAAACCGAGTTAAACTTAATTGTCTATTACAGCATGAAGACTTCCATAGAAAAGCCATTTTTAAAAGCAGTACTTGAAGGAAAAATTTTCAAGTGTCTCTAGTATTTCCCACCCACCACCACTGGAAATGGCCAGCAAGGAGATTATGGGAACTCCTCTTAGTTGCTCAACAGTTAGCAAACCAGTTTTTCTCTAAACTGGCCTGAGTCCAATAGACACAGTATAGTCCCAGAAGCGACACACACAAATGCAGGAAAGCAGTAAATGTATTACTCATGGTGCCCAGGTGGTTGGTGAACAATCTCCAAGAGCAGCAGGCATGGCTGCCTGAGCCCTGAGAGCCCAGAACAGCCAGGGTGCATTGCCTGCAGCGGGGCCAGCAGCTGCACTCCTGCATCACCTGCTCCTCTACCTTCTAAGCTATAGTATCACCCAAATAGTAAGACTGATCTGATTAGCAGGCCCTTAATCTTCACTAACCTTCTCCTTTAGCCATTAGCTATCATTAATTTATTAAATGTTCTTCTGACAGGCTGCAAATTGTCCAGTTACCACAATTACTCATCCAGCCATGCACTTCTCCCATCAAAACTCCACAACCACAAGTGATAATGAGCAGCTTTTTCAGGATGGCTCACCTACAACGCTGAGGTAGTGTCTTACTCCTGCCTGGTGATTCCTAAAGCTACTAGGGAGTGTTAGAGACTGACTCTAAAACTTACCAGGCTGTGCCATGCAACTGTGGATCCTCTTTCACTGGAAGGGTCACCAGATGAAGGTAGGGTTGGACATAACAGTTAAGCCCAGGAAGCTAGCAGGAGCACTTCTGGGAATCATTTAGCTTGGCACAAACCTCTTGAGATCACCTAGCCCAACTCCCTGCTCAAAGCAGGAGCTGCTGGAGACATTTGCCCAGCATGTCATCAGCTGGGTTTTGAATCTGCACAGATTCCACACCTGTGTTTTACCACTTACTGTAAAAGAAGTCATTTGTCCTGTTCAAAGAGAGTATTTTCAAATCTAGGCCCATCTCCCCTTGCCAGTGGTGCTAAGATTAATCTGGCTGTCTTCATTCCCTCCTCTCAGGGATCACTAGGATGTCCCCCTAGGCCTACACAGGGAAGCATCTTTGGGCCTAAGATCTCCCACCTCCATGTTCAGCTTGGACTAAAACACCACCAGCTGTTTCACTGCACTGCTGTGCCACAAAAGCTTTTGTTTGAGCTGGAACAGAACATGAGAACCTCCACACTATTTGACAGGATGATGGATTGTCTCTTGTAAAGCTTTCAGAAACTGAACTTGAAATGTCAGAGTGTTCCTACATACACACACAAACATCCAGAAAACTGCCTAGTGACCCAAGGCCTGTTTCACAATTGCAAAAGCACCTGCAAGTGCACCTCAGCCAAAAGGTTCGTGACCCATGCCATTAGCTTCCACCACACCTGACTTACTCTGTCTCACAAGACATTCTTCCACTAGCAGAAAGTACTGAAATCTACCACTCCCATCCTGCAGGTAAAGAATTAAGTAAACCGAGCTGTAAGACTTCAATTACTGACCTAGAAATCGGGCATTTCATTTAGCTAACAGTAACATGGACACTCACCCTAAACAAAACCAGAAGCTTTAATTCCCGACACTAGAACACCCCAAGCAGGGAACAGATAAAGTGACTGTAAATAAAAGTGGCCTTCTCACACATTCATCTTGACAAAGGCTATTCTCTTGGCTAAGGCAGTCTTTCATCATCCTTGTGGGTCCCCCTTCTAACTCAGAATGTTGGGATATTGTGATATTCCATTGGAGATCTTTTCATCTTAGATGTTTCTATGTGCATACTGAGCTGTAGCAGATGACTGAACGGGTTAAGTGTGATTCCCAACCTACTGCAAATCAAGGCACCAGATCAGCTAAACCAAAAATTCTTGTCAGATCCCTGTTTGCATTACTTACCTATAAAAATGAGACATCCAATACTCCAGCAATTCAGAATCTCAGGTGGTTGTTCTGATGCTTCTGGAAAACTTTCTTCAACCTGTGCCATCCTAAGTATGTCTTGCCCCAAGCTCTTAGAAGCACAGGATGAAGACTGGGTAGGAAGTGTCAGTTTGGTAACTTACTTTCTAGAAGGCAAATCCTAACTGCTAGGAAATTTAGAAAAACTGCATAAGCTTCCTGAATCAGTGGCAGCACACAAACAGCAGTTCTAAGGCATTCCAATGCTGGCTATCAAAACACTTTTGACAAGCCTTCTCTGGAAAATCAATAGAGCTGTTCAGAGTCCTCGGAGAGCAGAGCTTTAAGATCAGTGACCATAAACACTCGATTAAGTGCTCCTGAATTTGGATTGAACAGCTGTCCTAATTTTAGATGCTCACTGCATTTATAAATACATCAGAGATGATTGGAACAGTTTTAAAAATTAGGTAACTGCAGAGCTGGGAGCACTGCATGGTACCCAGAGGCAGGGGCCAATGCTTTGTTTAAAGGCCAGCAGAACCCCCAGACAAGATAACCATACTGCACATGTACAGTCAAGGCAGTTGTTGCCAGCAGAGAAGCAATGGGCACGAGCAGCCTCTGGCATTCTTTTGAGTTCTTGGATTCATCCTTGGTAGAAACCAGGTTTGTCTTCCACTTTAACAAAAATTAAACCTTGACAGAAAACTAGTGCTAGAAGCACAGTCATGCTCAATAAGAAACGAGGAAGAGAATGTTTTCCTCTGTACTTTGAGCTGACTGCATTCTGAATGGCAACTCAGACATGGCAGTTTCAGAAAAGCCCAAGTGTGAGACTAAGTTACCCCAATGTAGCAACTGACAGGGAATAAACTCCAAAATAATTAAAAGAAAGCAAACAGGTTTAGTTGTCCGAACAAGGAATTTTAATTTTAGGTCAACTATTGAACTAGGTCAACATCCAGTTCACAATGTCTACAGATAGTGGGCATAGCCAGTCACTACGGTAAGTTTATTGAAGCACCAAGCTCCACACAAGACTGTAAAATACATTTTAAACTACTAGTAAGAAAGCTTCTTCAAGTCAACAATACTATTAAGGGCCAGAGTTTAAGGACTAAGTTTTCACCTTCCAAGCTATTTTAAGACAGCCAATCCATTGCATAAGCAAACCAAACTGCTACATACTGAAACACAGAGCAGCAACTGCATTGAACAATTCCTGTAAATAATTCAAGGATACATTGAAACAGTATGGGTAAATTGTAATTTTTTATTGGAAAACAAATATACAACTTGGAATGGATTTGAGGCAAATCGTGCCATAAGCAGATTTTTTTGAAAATAAGTGGCTAAACAAAGTTTAAAAAGCATAGTAACAAGAGGAGAAAATGTTTTCTGGCACAGGACCAGCAGTACAAAAAAACTTGTGTACGAGTACCTGGATAAATCACCCGTTTTGCATTAGTGCAACTTAAGTTTCATATTGTTGACTGTCAATCGTCTACAACGTTAAGACTCCACATTTCAACAACATGTTACAGGTATGGCCACAAACAAGTTACCGTGAAGTAAGCTAGGAGAATGACTTTTACAGTGCATTAGCCACACGATATATGCTATTCACATCATTTTATCCTGCAGGTAAGCTGCAGGAGTCCTCTTCCTCCCATCACAGAAAGGGGTAAAAACTCCTATGTACTCGAGAACTAGAACCAGCATGTTGCTTGAACTAAGGATCAGCTAATGCACGGTAAACCCTGGCTTACTTTATGTAACTTGTCACACTAGTCATACCTAAGTTTCCTAGAGAAAGCTACTTTTTTAATAGACAATCCAGATGTTCCCTCAGTTAACCAACTTCATCTAACTTTAGATGTGCAGAAGGGCTTAAATATCCAGAGTAAGCCACATGCAACATTTGTTACTTAGATCAATTTTCCAAAAATCAGAACAATGACAGTAAGATAAAGGAGAAAAACATGGAGGAATGGCCTTCTAATTACTATACATGCATAATCTTTTGACAGTAAGGGAAAAACCTTTTACAGATAAGTTACAAACAGAGAAAAGGCAAATAAACAATTTTGTACAAGAAATTTAACACATTCTGTACAACGTCTTCACTTCGCTGTCATCATTTGTACAAACTCTGTAAAAGGAAAGAGTTGCATAGGTTATTTGAAGGAAAAAAATATTAATTGCAAGATCTGAGAAGTGGCCTTACTAGTGCTGAACATTGATTCAAAACTGCATTTTCAGTTACAGTCAAAAAAACATCTTCAAGACAGTCCTCTTTTTCAATAATCACACCTAAACTCCTCCTATTTTTAATGGCAAAAGGCCTTTATTTTTCCATAAGAGTTGGTCCATCAGTGAACTGGATAACAGCCTTACTTCCAAGACAAAACATTAGAGGGTCCTATGCCCACAGACTTACAGATGGGGACAAAATATCCAAGAATGACTAAAAGATCCCTACAAATCACACTGAAGTGACAATCAACTAAGAAACTGTACAGGCAGACTTTGTGTTGGTTTGAACTTTTATTTTCCAGAGAGGAATAGTTAAGTATTTTATTTTGCCTGGCTGGCTTTAAGCAAGCAACTGATTCAATGCTTAGTCATAAACCATTTTAAGTTCGAACCCACAAAACAGGATTCTACATTCATCTTGCTGAACCATAGTTTCAGGTACAATAATGACAGGAAACCCAGAACCTAAGAGGAGTTAACTGGCTGCTCAAGCTTTGAAAGAGCAACTGGAAACAATCGGGACACAGACACTCTCCAGTGCCAGTCTCTGAACAGCCTACTCAAACAGTGATGAAGCAGCAGCCTTGTACATAAAAGTTACTTTTCACTCACAGATGTCTGTGTACCCTTAGGCCACAATGAAAAAGGCCTTAAAGGGAAGGCATATCTACACCTCAGAAATAGCACAGATTATCTGAAAGTACCCTAGATGTTTTCTGTAACATATTAAAAAGTCAAGCTTAGTGTGTCTCAGCTGCAAACAACTGTCTAAAGGAACTCCTGCTTGCATGACTTCATTTACAGTTCAATGTCAGGAAGAAAGGAAGAAATAGAAAGAAATTACTGTTGTAGCCGATTTACATGAAATAAATGTATTTAGAGTATCTTCTGAAGGTCTTGAAATTTCTGCATATTTTAGAGGCTTTCCCTTTTCATCAGCAAGTAATTTTAAAAGCATTGAGGACAAATGAGTGACATCCCACAGCCAGGTCAACATGCATTAGTTAACAGTATGAACAGCACATGAACATCTCTTGACAACTTGCTTATTCTAATGGTCATTAGACATCATTAGATTTACAAAGTCAATTCTTACCCTGTACAACCAAATAGCCCTTTTTTGCCTTTGGCACAAAGGCAGCAATAACACTTAAACTCATTGAGAGGTACACAATGTACATACTAATTGAAGATTAGCTAAAAGGAACACTGTGTGTTCAGATGAACTTGTCTGAACACTGCCCTATTTAAACTTGGTGTGGCTAACAGCACCCGCACAAGTACGAGCATGACAAGTGCTACACCAAAAGAAACAATTAACAACTCCTTACCTTCATAGTTTACTTGACCATCACCATCAATGTCTGCTTCCCTAATCATTTCATCAACTTCTTCATCTGTTAGCTTCTCCCCCAGATTTGTCATCACATGGCGGAGTTCTGCAGCACTAATGTAACCGTTACCATCCTGGGAGGAGAAAAAGGAACACTGGAATAGACTTGCCTAAGGCCTAATGACTTAACTATAACTTAAGAACATTGCAGAGCAAATTGAGCATTAAGAAGGTAACACAGCCTTAAGCACCAGCATTTGCTCAAGGTATGTGAGAGCTGTAAGCATATCTTCAGCACTGTCCAATGTCTTTGGGCACTGTAAGCTTATAGCCTTTGACTGTCCTATTATGACATTTTTAAACCATGAACAATGCAATCACCCCCTTTTGCAACTTCTTAGGTGATGGATGCCTGCTAAATCACATGACTGTGGTTCAAGTGGTGATTTCTCAGAACAGAAGCTACTTATCTGATGTGCCTGTTTCATGGGAGTCCAGCATAAAGCCACAAGGACTTCAGAGATCGATCACTTGTACATATCCCAGTACAAGTTGGGACACTGAATATTGAAGTATTGGTGTACACTAACTCAACTGAAGTGTTCCTTCCCACACCCCAAGGCACTTCACATCATGTTTTCAGCTCCAAGGTGCATCTTAAGTAAGCTGAGTAACTTCAGATTCTTTTAGCAATTTACTTAGCAAAGACTACATAAGACTTACAACATTAACATTTTAAATACTTAAAACAATTTCCTGCCAGTCATCTGGAAGTATTTCAGTATCACAGCGAGCAGTACTTTAAATTATGTCACTTACTACTATCCTGACAAATCCTCTGACTTTCCCATACCACCACAGTAGGCTGAGCTTTAGGGTGACTGGCCAGCCTAGAGGCTCTGTGACAGGAGAGTACCCCTCAGATCTGTGAGCAAGCACGTTAGAAGCAGAGCAAGTTTTCTTAACAGAAATGTTCCACGCAGACATTACAGTACCTTGTCAAAGACACGGAACGCTTCTCTAATTTCTTCTTCACTATCTGTATCTTTCATTTTTCTTGCCATCATTGTCAGAAACTCTGGAAAGTCAATTGTGCCATTGCCTGAAAGGTTGAAAAATCGTTGTTAGAAAAATATGGTTTAGGCACTTGACTAATTTACTGATCAGTAAAGTTCTTACCATCAGCATCTACTTCATTGATCATATCCTGTAGCTCTGCTTCTGTGGGGTTTTGACCAAGTGATCTCATCACTGTCCCCAACTCCTTTGTAGTTATAGTACCATCACCATCCTTGTCAAATAGTGAAAAAGCTTCTTTGAATTCTGTACAAAACAGAAAAAAAAAGTTAATCCCTTAAGCTTTGAAATGTTAATCAAATTCACTGCTACTGATTGCTGCAAGTTACAAAATTTGATTTCAGTCTTTAAGAAAATTTTGGTACACTGTTCAGCCTGCTGTAATTGCAATGGCAATATGGCAACATCAGCATCTGAAAACACACCCACCAGTCTACTGATGAACCACAGCCTGACCTAAATTAGGATGGAAGGTCATCCATTTCCAAAAGACTCAGATGTTTGTTACTGTCTATCTTGAATAAGGGCTCCTAATATGGCGCTGAAATAGCTGTCTGCAACTACAATGATCCGCATCCTTGGTAGGAATTGCATCTCAAAATAAAACAATATGGAACTGCCACGAGAAAATTGAAAATGGTACTTTAAAGGTACGTATGCCACAGCTGAATAGCACTTTTATTACTGATAGAGATGAGTCAACGGAAAAAGGTATTATCAGACCAAACTACACCCAAGTTTCTCAATATAAGCCACTTCCGCTGGACACAGATGTCTGAACATTTTATGCTACCACAATGGTTCAAAGAAGAAAGCCACTGGAGTCTTCATGCTGAAAGGCTGCTCACAAAACTGCTCCAGCCCTACTGTTTCCTGAAACAGCCTCCACAGAAATGTTTCTGACTGGTCCTAAGACTGCTTTGCTGTGCTTCAACACCATCTCTTAACCCCCTACACAATGGCTGTACCGTGGCCAGGAATATTAATACAAGCATAACATGTTTAATTGTCCAGTCCAAAAATGGAGTTGGTTTTCATCCATGCCATCTGTCTTTGGCCACAGACCTCAAACCAGCTCACTGCACTGCGCAAGCTCACACACACACGGCAGTTAAGCAAGAGCATCTTGTCCGTTCCTTTGCAGACTTCCGATCCCTTCCCAGCTTTCCAGCCATCTCAGAGATCATGGCTCTGGACAGCCTGTCAGCTCAAGGGTACTCCTGCATCAGAACTATTTCCAGTTACTGGTTTTTTTTCAACATTTCCATGCAGCCAGCTTTCAGATGGTGGGTTTCCCAGACCAGAATCAGTCACAGTAAAAGTTGTGTTTCCACATGACCTGATGAAGCCTTTACTTCATACTCTGAAACTCTTGAGGTGAGTACAAGCTGGCAAGTATTAAAAATTCAACTATAAAGATAGGTTTTTATAGCTCATGAATACAGCTACAACACCAGAGTCACACAGTCACATCCCACAGAGGGGAAAAACCCCACTACTCTTCTACATTTAAGTCTCAAGTGTCCCAAGAGCCAACCCCCACTGTTTAGCCCAACAGAATCAGAGCAAGGCTACCACAGGACCAGTAGAAACAGTTTCAAGCCAGTATGTAAAAAATCACCAAGCAGAAACAAGGAGATACAACCTATATCTGGAATTCCTTCCAAATGGTCTCTGGGGGCTAGTTTTAGTTATCTTGCAGGCAACAAACAGATTTCTTAGGGCTAAGGTCCTACACCAGGGAAGAAAATGCTTTTGGGTCAATCCTAGTAGACATTCACATTCTATCATGGAAGAACCTCAAAAGGGGAAAGTTGCATCCTCATGAAGAGTCAAGTGCTCAAGCGTTA